AGTGCAAATCCCGAAAGTTCGCCATTCAATGCGAACGGAATCAAATTTTTCCTCCATTCCTAGAGATCAAGCTCCCCAACAGTTTCTCTTTGCTTGTTGGAGTCTGAAACAGCCATTGGGGAAGGCCTGGGAATTGGATCGGGACCACGGCACTAGGGGAGGGGCTTAACCGTATCCTCATGCTGTTCTGCCAAGTTGAAAACAAGCTCTATTTTCTCTATGTGAAAAGCACCTTTGGTCAGACAAGAGAGGAGGCAACCTGTATGTTTTCACCTCCAGGGCAAATAGCAGCTTCGGGGGTGGATTTTAATTATGAAAACGGCACTGGGTAAACAGTAGGAACAACCCACACCTAGTACTGTGGTTCTGTCCAAATTTAGACCCCCATATTATTTTTTAAAAGGAGATCCTGATTACAGATCTCTTGCATAACATCTAGTCTGGCTATTCCGGGGGCAATCTGAGGGATTTAACCAAGTTCTGAGCTATACAGAAATTTTGAGTTCGGAGGCTGCGTTGCTTGAAGCGCGTTATTGTAAAAGAGCAAGAAAGCAAAATAAAAGGCACAGTAAAATTAAGAATATTGATGATTCAGTGTTGATGAATGTGCAATATAGCCCCATAAGCGACAGATGGAAATCACAAATCAAATCAGCAGAGAGCTTAGTTAATTCAAGCAAGTTTGCATTTGTTCCTATTTGAAACAATGCACTTAAGACACACCTCTTGGGATAAGATGAAAGCAATTTGAAAATACAAATGCAAAAGGAACATTACAAGAATGGGATTCATTTATCTGAAAGTCGCTATGTTTTCGGACTGATAAACGTCGCATACCAGACAAACAGCAGCTAACAGAACCTGATAGCATATAGATGAAAAAATATCCATTACAACTCAGTTTAACACTGAGCAATAATGCATAGCTCACTGAGTAGAGCAACACAAATGCAAAAGCGCAGCTACAGACAACAGCAGGCAACACATCAAAAAGCAAATCAAAAAGCAAAGGGATACAAAATGGACCAAAAATATGATGGAGCTAAGCGCACATGAGCAGGAGTGCAGTACAGAATCGGAAAAACATCAGGGTTATAAATAGAAGGAGAGTAAAGACACAACCTCATGCAAAATTTGTCCGGTCCCCTGAAAGATAGGGTATTTCAGAGTTTCCTGTTTCAAAATGTATTGTTTGATTTTTCCAAACAGAAATCTTACATGCCTGCATCATTAGCACTTCAGAATGGATAAAAACTCATTGCACCAAATAATCACGCCATTGTTGTTCATGGGGCTTCCCTCTCCCCCCCCCCCTTTGAGCTATATTTTTCTTAACTAATAAAGGAGGCTTCCCCCTGTACCTTGCAAACACACACACACACAAATGTCTTTAACTGCACAGCAAAGCAATGTAACCGCCACATTTTTAAGTCGCTTGTGTAATTTCAGATTGGAGAAGCCAGCCAAACAGCAACAACAGGACAAAAGAAATTATGCACATATGACTCCACATTATCCAACAGCGAATTCTACATCCTGAAACTGGTTTCTATCAACCTTTCAGTATCATTCTTGTGCTCGATCTTCATCCATCTTTGTGGGGGGGGGGAATCACAAATTTTGGTTTTTGGTATACCTTCAAAGAGAAAAGTTATTGGATTGCGTCAGAATTTTGTGGCAGCCCTGCTATTGTTCATCTCACCAGACTTTCCCTTCATCCACCTTTTGTATTCTAGGCTATCAAAATCATGCCTCCAGGCACTTCTATATATTTTCTCTCCTTCCTACCACCATCAATAGCACCACCTGCCTTGCTGAGAATGTAAACGGGACCCTTTCTTACAAAAGGTCAAGGAGAACATCAGCTTACAGAATTCTCTGTCTCAATATGCCATGGCAGCTGGGGTGTTGCCAGGTACTTAAAAAGAAGTCAGACACAAATTGGTTGGTGGGTAGACTTTGCAGGGTCATCCTGAGGATGAAATTGAGAGGAGGAGAAGCACACATGCCTCTTTGGGCTACTTGGGGGAAAGGTGGGATAAAAATGTAATTAATCAACCAATAAATCTGCCTGTAGATAGGGATGGGCAAATCTGTCAGTTTCGGTTTCTCTCCATTTCGAATTTTTCCAACCTTAAGTTTAGATCACAACATCAGTTTGTGGATTTGTTTAGGGGGAAATCCAAATTGTGAAAATTCACCAGCATTTTAGTGTAAATTCCTCCTTATGGGGAAAAATTGCATGCAAAAATGTGTCTCTTACACAATTTTTTTGGCAAAGCACTTCCCCCTAATATAATGCATTTTGGTCTGTTATTTTCACTAATATATGCATTCATTTTCTTTACACTTTACCCTGGAGTTTTTGTATACGTTGGGCTGGAGACCACATTGCAAAATTTGGAGAACTGCAAATTGCGAAAGTTCATTGTGTTTTGCTTCAAGTTTTGTTGGGGGAAGTGCCAACCCAGTACGTTCACCTTTAATGGGAACTGAATTGCATTCCTCCCCTGTCTTTACCTCTGGGCATGTTAAGAGTGTAGCTGTGGTCTCAGCTGCATTGCAGTTTGCAGTGAGCCGAGCCACTCTGAAAGCAAAGGGTTTATTTTGTTGCCTTTAAATGCTATGAAACAAATATATAATGTAAAAGATGTGGGGCTCAGGAATCCTTGGGCCACTCCTGAGCAACACCCCTGGTCAGTGATGGCCACTAGCTTAGATGGCTTCAAATGGGGATGAGTCAGATTTATGTAGGATAAGGCTACTAGCCACAATGGCTATAAGTACCCTTCAGGTTCAGAGGCAGCTTGTCACTGAATAACACTTGCTGGGAGCAACAACAGGCTATTATTGTTTTCATGCCGCGCCTGCAGGCTTCCAAAGGGCATCTGGTTGGCGTTGGAAATTAAGAAGGCTAGCCTTATAAGCAAAGTTTATAAGCCCCATTGAAGTTTGTAGGACATACTTCTGAGTAGGCATGGTCAGAATTGCCCTGCTGCTGCTGGGGTACCAAATCATGGGGAATATCCCAGAATGCATTGGGCACACCCATCCAGGAAGAGGCCACACCTGATATGCACCACCACAGCTTCTCCATGGCACACAATGCAATAAACTGACGAGATACGCAATAACGCCGAAACAACAGTCACACAAACACCCGCAAAATCCACAGGCTTTCTGCTGCATTGCTGACTGGGTCCATATTTTAGAATTTCAGGTTTCAATCAGGAAAAAAAGCAAATAACTAGTCTTCAGGATGTATTTATTTGTCGTTATATTTCCTGCCCTGCCTCCACTACAATCAAGGCAGCAGAGATGGGTTTCCCAGCTGGTCTTTCATCTAGGTACAGGCTGGGCCCAGGCTGCTTAGCTTTGGACAGATTGGATCTACATCATGGACCATCCTTGGAATTGCCCTTCTCTCCTTTTCTGCTGTCGCAAAGTTATCCTATATCACAGAAGCAGATTCAATAATGCAGAGCCTAGACTGCGGGCGCACATATCCAGAACTTAAGTCTGCATCTCGAAGGTCAGCTGGTCCTAGGACTTGACCTCTTTGAGGGGCAGAATGTGCACAGGAACACACACCCCTTTTTCTTTATATGTGTGTTCCTCACACACAAGCCTTTATTGATGCACTAAATGGTCTGAAGGCAGAGACCATTTAGTGCATCAATAATGGTGCCAAGGCAGAAACGCTGCTCAAGCTAAGAAGGAATGGGCCTCATCTGCACCTCCATGGGAGACGATTGGGAGCCCCGTTATCGCTACAAAATCAACAGGCACACCTCAAGGTTTGCCTCATGCACGCATTCAGAAACGTAGCACCCTCTTCCATTTAAGCCCCCGCCATGTTGCATGCGCTTGTTATGGCAGCCGCTCTGCACAAACCTATTGCAGATGTTATATAAAGACACAGAGAGACTCCGGTACATGCCGCCAAAGCCAAAACTTACACAAATTGCATAGTTTTCTCACTGACTTACATGCCTGCCTTCCATCATGTGCGAACATACCCACTGAGGTGATAACAAAATGCTCGCCCGTGTGACACACAAGGGCAACACACATACACACACACCATTTTCGGAAAACACACAACATCCCTTTTATAAGTATACATGGAAACACTCATCTGTCCCCACATACATCGTTTAAAAGGTCATCGGGATTTAACTTTTTGGGTTTCTCATCTTCTTCCTTCAACCCCCACCTGAAACCCATAGGAGCTCTGGATTCAAGAGTTCAATCTCACAAAGGTACCTCAGAACCCCATACGGCCATTTTCCTCAGAACAGACAACCTCTTTCTTCACCCTCAGTTGGGAAGCCGGCCACCCGCTTCCCAACACTCGCACACACAAACTCAACTGTAGCAGTCGACACTAGCAAGGGTGAGGGTTGCTCCCAGACTGATAAACACACACACCCAAAATGGCTGCCCTCCCTGTCCCATTGCACAGTAATATGGAAGTAAAGGATCCTTTCAGACCTAAGATGAGGAGATTTGGGGAAGGAAAGAGCAGGGTTTGAATTACGGACACAATCAGGAAAAGGTTTGACGGAGCAAAAGTAAGCATGGGGTAAGGGAATCACACAATAACAACATTTTGAGCAGAAACGAAGCGTGGGATTTGAGGTTATACAACAGTTCACTTCCTCAAACATATATCCTCCCCACCCCAAGGATCTCGGGGGCAGCAATGTCTCCCCCAGTCCTAGTTCCTTGAATCAGTTTATCCACTGGATTGAGCTCCATTCTCGCCTTTGTCCCAAGAGTAGTTGCTTCTATACAATCCACAGTCCATTCCAAGGTGCTTCGATCCACAACATATTTGGATGTGTTCGAGTACCAACAAAAAATTCTACCGCAAAACAGTTGCCTTCTCCCGGAAATTCTTTGGTAATTTTTTGCCAATATTCCACTCCCTTGCCCAGATAACATAGATTGTTTTTATACACAGTAGTCATTGACGTAATTAACATAACCATAATTACCTGGAATCCTCTGGTTCTGAAAACTACAATCAGGCAGAACAGAGCAGAACTTGATGGTAAACAATCAGTGACTGGCAATATCCGGGTCAGTACCAGTTGCTTGCTTAGTTAGTTAAGAACAAAGTAGGTTCGATCCATCTGCAACGAAAGAAAACATTTGTGAACTGGAGAGAGAAAGCGATATTCTCAAGGGCTATCATCCTGCACATTGCTTAAATGCCATGAACCGATGGGATTTTGCTGGGCTGCATCTCGAAACACTGCCCAAACCCAACCTGGGCTTCATGTTGGCTGGAAGAAAGAAAAGGGAAATTGTCCACACACCCAAGAAGGGACTCTATCAAGCTGTCTCGCAGTTCGGGAATCGATGGGCATTTTGTGCTGCCTCTGTGCTAGGAAATGAGAAAAGCAGTTCGAGAACAACAGCTTCATCCCACTCTTGCCCCCAGACCTACCGCCCTCTTCCCCTGCCCCTCCTTTGCCCCGGTACCAAGAGCCAAGTTCCTATCTCTCATGGAAGCTTGCAGGCGTAATTTCCCCAAACCTTCCCTTTGTTCCCCACCTGTCCAGTTCTAGTTTCCCTTCCCAGCTTGGGCACCCCAGACTTTAAAGCTTCTTTTCGCAGTACCTGAATCTCAGCAGGATACCCCCTTTGGGTATGTGACTACGACACACCTTTTGTCTAGGCAGTGCCCACCGCATTGTGCCCACTTCCTTCTTCTCCCTTTCACCCAGTGGCCGGGCTACACCCCACCATCGAAACCTATTAGTTTCCACCCCTTCCGTTCCTTACCCTTGCATCGTATCAGGCACCCCCTCAAATGCCCCTCTTTCCTCCGTGGCTACTTTCCGAAGATCTTGCCCCGGCCTTTGGTCTGTTGCCGTCCAGTTTACATGGCCTCCCAATGCCAGGTTTTTATGCCTCTCTTTCTGCAGCGCCTAATGCCCATATACCCACACGCTCTTGTTTTGGCGCTGAGAATGGCTTTTGGGCGGGCGTTGTACAGGAATAAATATCATTCCTGGGCACTGAGACGGGGGGGTGGTGGTTTGGAGGATAGGGATGCGCCAAGGGGGGGGGGAGATGCAATGCTGCTGTGACATTTGTGCTAAGTTGTCGTGTCAGATTTGAACTTAATTCCCTCCAATGGATCGGGGGTGGGGGGTGGGAGAGAGCAAAAGAGAGAGAAGTCCCCAGCTATACGACCATGCGCCGTTGCTTGCAGAAATCATAGAGAAGGAGCCTGTCATAGCCGGTCAGGGCTACGGGGGATGGGGAGAGAGGGGGGAAATGGGACAGGCGGCGTAGAGAGAGGCGCGAGCTCCACCTTCAAGTCAAAGGCTGCAGGGGTGGAAAAAATGAGAAGCCAGGAATCTTTGCTCCCAGCCCCTTTCATCTTAGGCCATCAGCCTCTGAGCACCAGGTTCACACAGGCCGCGCTTACTCCAGCCAAATTACAGGGATGGATGGCTCCGTCTAGTTCCAGCCAGCGTCAACCTCACACGTGTTGTTTGCTCGTATTAAGCCTCTCCTCTCCCGTTCCCGCAATCTGTGAATTTTTTAAATCCATACGAAAATTCAGTATTATTGAAAACACATAAATAGATGCATATTTCGTCGCAAAATGTTTGTCGAAATGCATATATTGGCTCCCAACACACACATCTGCTAATGCAGTTGGTCCTAAAAATACACATTTTTATATGGTTTCTGAGCTGAAAACTGAATCACAAAATTTGGGGCAGGGCGAAAAAGCCAAAGGGTAACTGTTTTCCGAATCATGTACTAGCCCAGGAGCTGCAAATTAGGTCCATTTGCTTAAAAATGTGGACTGAGCAACATTCTCCTCCGTCTTGAACTGCCACATAAGCCCCAGAGAATCCGCTCTCACTGAGAACCTAGGAGTCCTTGTTCGGCACTTCTCATACTCAAGTCTTCTAAAGCATGGGGTGGGGGGGAATCTCAGACCTGAGGCATCCAGGCCTCTCTGTCTAGCCCTCAAGATGCTCGTTAAGCCACATCCCAGCCTTGCTTCACATCCTCCTTGGGTGTTTTTGCCTAGTTGGAATATGCCCTGAAGTTTGATCATGACTCTTGGTTCCCCGGATGAAGAATACAGAGGCCCGTGAGAGTGTGTGTAGAAATGAGCCTACTGCATAAAGGCAGACTAAAGAAACATTCACTGTCATTCCCAGAGAAACCAGGAGTGCTGATTCCCAACCCTGTGTAATGACCAATTAGGTTCTTTTAATGTACTATTAAAAGATTGTATTAATGTATAATTAGCTTCTTTTAATGTACTATTAAAAAGCAGAGACATCACCTTGCCAACAAAGGTCCATATAGTTAAAGCTATGGTTTTCCCAGTAGTGATGTATGGAAGTGAGAGCTGGACCATCAAGAAGGCTGATCGCCGAAGAATTGATGCTTTTGAATTATGGTGCTGGAGGAGACTCTTGAGAGTCCCATGGACTGCAAGAAGATCAAGCCTATCCATTCTTAAGGAAATCAGCCCTGAGTGCTCACTGGAAGGACAGATCCTGAAGCTGAGACTCCAATACTTTGGCCACCTCAAGAGAAGAGAAGACTCCCTGGAAAAACCCTGATGTTGGGAAAGATGGAGGGCACAAGGAGAAGGGGACGACAGAGGACGAGATGGTTGGACAGTGTTCTCGAAGCTACCAGCATGAGTTTGACCAAACTGCGGGAGGCAGTGGAAGACAGGAGTGCCTGGCGTGCTCTGGTCCATGGGGTCACAAAGAGTCGGACGTGACTAAACGACTAAACAACAACAATGTACTATGCCCTGATCTTCATTCAGACAACCAACAAGCTAGACCAGATTCCATTTCAGACAGAGACCCAAGGGAAGAGTTTGCTCCCATCCTACTCTTCCATCCATAAATCTCAGTCCCAAATAAAAGCTGGGGACAGAAGGAACGAGTCCTTAGGGCCTTAGGAGAGCAGTGAAGGCTACTGGATTTGACTGAGAAGAGCCAGAGATCCGTGACTTAGCCTAAGGGAGACGACAGGCAGGTAAGCGCGGTGGGGCAGGGATTCAAGATGAAAGACAGAAATTGCGGGTCAAGCAGCAGCAACAACAGATCACAACTAATTAGCTTGAGCAAAAGGGAGGAAATGAATGGGAGGGGGGAAATCAGGTCAGGACTGAACACCTTGAGAAAGGAAAAGCAGTGCTAAATCAGACGTAATGTGTAGCATCCGAGTTCCATAAAATGATTTACCAGATGCCTCTGGGAAGCCTGTAACTAGGACCCTCCTCAGTGCTCCCTCTAGCAACTAGAAATCAGTGGCAGATTGCCTCTGAAGATGCAGTATCTATGAGAACATAAGAGCAGTCCTGTTGGATCAGGCCGAAAGCCCATCTAGTTCAGCATCTTGTTCTTACAGCTACTAATAGTCAGAGCCATACTGTCTCCAACAGCGAAGATAGTACATACAGTACATGAGCCAACAGTGTGACGCGGCAGCTAAAAAAGCCAAAGCAATTATGGGCTGCATCAATAGGAGTATAGCATCTAGATCAAGGGAAGTAATAGTGCCACTGTATTCTGCTCTGGTCAGACCTCACCTGGAGTACTGTGTCCAGTTCTGGGCACCACAGTTCAAGAAGGACACTGACAAACTGGAAACGTGTCCAGAGGAGGGCAACCAAAATGGTCAAAGGCCTGGAAACGATGCCTTATGAGGAACAGCTAAGGAAGCTGGGATGTTTAGCCTGGAGAAGAGGAGGTTAAGGGGTGATATGATAGCCATGTTCAAATATATAAAAGGATATCATATAGAGGAGGGAGAAAGGTTGTTTTCTGCTGCTCCAGAGAAGCGGACACGGAGCAATGGATCCAAACTACAAGAAAGAAGATTCCACCTAAACATTAGGAAGAACTTCCTGACAGTAAGAGCTGTTCGACAGTGGAATTTGCTGCCAAGGAGTGTGGTGGAGTCTCCTTCTTTGGAGGTCTTTAAGCAGAGGCTTGACAACCATATGTCAGGAGTGCTCTGATGGTGTTTCCTGCTTGGCAGGGGGTTGGACTCGATGGCCCTTGTGGTCTATTCCAACTCTGTGATTCTATGATCCTAGTAGCTATCATGGCTGGTAGCCATCCATTTTGACTAACAATCACTGATGTTAAACAAAACAAGCAAGAAGAGAGGCAAAGCAGAATGGGTCAGAGCATTGGGTCAGAACATACCAACTTGCAACTAAAGAACAGAAACAGCAATCCAGTTGGGTCAAGGCTGGAAAATCTGTGAGAGGCGAAAGGAAGGAAGATAGCCTACAGCAGGGTTTCCCAAGCTTGGGTCTCCGGCTGCTGTTGGACTACAACTCCCATCATCCTTAGCCAGTGGGACCAGGGATGATGGGAATTGTAGTCAAAAATAACAGCTGTAAAACCTGGCCTACAGGAAAAGGGTTGGTCTGGGAAACAAGCCGAAGAAGAAGAAAAGAGTAGGCAATTAGGACAGGACTCTGGTAGGGATGTGGGAGCAATCGTGACTTTGTACTTGAATGAGAAACTACTGAATTCATGGGACGCAGGTGGCACTGTGGGTTAAACCACAGAGCCTAGGACTTGCCGATCCGAAGGTCGGCGGTTCGAATCCCCGTGATGGGGTGAGCTCCCGTTCCTCGGTCCCTGCTCCTGCCACAACCTAGCAGTTTAAAAGCATGTCAAAGTGCAAGTAGATGAATAGGTACCGTTCCAGCGAGAAGGTAAATAGCATTTCCGTGCGCTGCTCTGGTTCGCCAGAAGCGGCTTAGTCATGCTGGCCACATGACCCGAAAACTGTATGCCGGCTCCCTCAGCCAATAAAGCGAGATGAGCGCCGCAACCCCAGAGTCAGTCACGACTGGACCTAATGGTCAGGGGCCCCTTTACCTTTACCTTTACTGAATTCATATGTCTCAAACCAGTACATGAAGCTATCCTTTGAAACCTTCCTTTCTTGCAAATATCCAAGAAAAATGCCTTAAAAATAACCCATCAATGGTTCTTGACTCCAGTCCGCTCCCCTATTTGTTGGGGAGAATGCAATGAAAGAGGGACTTATTGGTGCATGTGGTGGTCTTGCAAACATGTACACAAATTTTGGAAAGAGGTAATGAAGGAAGATTTTGGAATAATAGCTGTACCGTCCACTTTAACCTCCAAGCTGCGTCTTTTATCAGTTTTTGATTGGTCAAATATGGACTTCATATGGAAACAACTTATAATTTTTATAATAACAGCTGCTCGTTTGACAGTAGCACAGGACTGGAAGGAATCCTTGGGATTTTTCTTTAGCTATTTGGTTCAATACAGTAATAGTTATTATTATTTCTGAGAAATTGACATAGTTAAGGCTATCTCACGGTGCCTTCATTTAGTGGCCTCCATTTAGTGGCCATGTGTTACTTATAATGACAGGCCAATTACAGGGATGGCAAACCCCAATAAAATATGGCTTTATTTGCTGCTCATAACATTTGCTTTGCATTATTTCTGTATCAGGTCAGTTGTTGTTATAGTATATAATTCACTGTGTGCTTTATGAGATGATGTCTGTGAACCCTGTTGCTTTTGTACAACTGGTTCCCCCCTTCTTTTTATTTTACTTCATATTTTAAACTGGATAGTGACTTTAATTTCATCATAAAATCTTTAAAAAATAAAATGAAAATTGTACTTCTCCGAATTTTGTGTTACACCTCCCTAACCAATTCGTACAAAAATGCATATATTAGGGGGAAGATGTGCACAAACGTGTGCATGTTGGAGAAAATAACACAAAAATGCATTAGGGAAAATGGCAAAAATTTGTAAATTAGTCAAAGCTTGGCACGAAAATTGTGTGTATTGGGATAAATTTGCACTAAATTCTAATTGATTTTCATAAGGATTAAAAAATAATAATTGCAAATTCCTATGGAAATGTGAGGAACTGAAATCAAAACTGGATAAATGAGAAACAGAGAAAGTGAAGTTGACAGATTTATCCACGTAAGTAGCCCAAAACCAGCAATAATGGTAGTGATGGGTTAAGACCAAAGAACCTACAAGAGAGAAAGGGGAGTCAGGAGATGGTCCAAACATCAGGCATGGTCCAAACAGCCCAAGTGGGAGAGGAGACCTTGTAATTCTCATTAGCACTAGGTCAGAATTTAATGATGAAACCCTGTGGGGACAAATGGAAAGAATATGCTTAAGAGCTACGGAAGGAATCACAAAGAAGCAATAATCTCCCTAAAACTGAACGGCGGTAAGGAAAGTGGGGGACATCATGGCATGTTATTTGGGAAGGAAGAGCACAAACAATGAAGACTTTTCATTTGCTGTATATTTGCTGTCTATTGAAACAAAAAGAAAACTAGTAAGATGCAAATGATGGATGTTCTCAGCACGGTGTTTATTTGTTACATTCAAATCCCCCACCTTCCCTGAAAGGTGTTCAAGACGGCTCCCCGTTCCACCATTTTATCCTCAGAACAACCCTGTGAGAGGTAGGTTAAGCCGAGAGACAGTGGCTGGCCCAAGATCACCCAGCAGGCTTTATGCCTGACTAGGGATTTGAACCCAAGTCTCCCAGGTCCTAACCCAACAGCCTAACCACTATGCCACATTTGTTTTAAAACAGGATATTTGATATGACCACACAGTGGTACCTCGGGTTAAGAACTTAATTGGTTCTGGAGGTCCATTCTTAACCTGAAACTGTTCTTAACCTGAGGTACCACTTTAGCTAATGGGGCCTCCCGCTGCCACTGCCGCGTGATTTCTGTTCTCATCCTGAAGCATAGTTCTTAACCTGAGGTATTATTTCTGGGTTAGCGGAGTCTGTAACCTGAAGGTCTGTAACCTGAAGCGTCTGTAACCCAAGGTACCACTGCATATGATTTAAAGGTCTACTGTAGCTAGGGAATTTAGGCAAATGATCCTTTTAAAACATGTATTTTAAAGTTTTGGTATGAAAAAATGATAATGATAATGAGCCACAGGGCTGAACAGCTCTCATCAGAGAGGATGGTTTTGGGCAGCGGGAAACAACAGTGTCCTGGGGTCAGGACTGAGAAGCCCAAATGAGAGAATGCAGGCAGTTATCACATCAGGACCAAGCAGAGAAGAGAGAAAGAGAGCATCCTGGGCATTTTGGCAGAGAACATCACTGCGAGGCTAAAACTGAGGGAGCCAAAAAAAAATCGGGGCTCTCTAGCAATTTGAAGGGACCTCATGGTGCACAGCATAACTGGAAGCATCTCTGTGAAGAGAAGGAAGAAGAGAAGAGAAGGCTGTCCACATGGCGGCCCGGGGAGTCGGAAGGGTGGGAGCGGGGGGCGAGCTAAGTACAAATTTCTGTTGCTGCGACACGCCGTCAATTAAAAATGCAAAGCAGATTGACTCATGTGTGAAGGGGGCCTGGGGGGAGCCAGGGACTGTCAGGCCCGATCTATCTGCCCGGCGACACACACGATTGTAGGGTGGGTGGGTGGAAGTGGCATGGGGAAAGGGGTGGGCGAGAGGATGCCTGGAGGGAACGGATTGCCGAGGAAGTCTGGAGCACAGAGTCCCTCGCGCTTCGGCTCCTTCTGCACGCACCGCCGCCACCCCCTTGAGAAATGCAAAAGCAAACCATCTCCAAATCTATCGGGGCCTGGACTCCCCGAGTCCCAGATATTTCTTTGGGTCCAGTTACGGGTTATGGAGACTTCAGGACGCCTTGCGGTGCTGCCTAGGCACCCATACTTGTCTCTGCAGAATATATCCCCCCCGCCGATAAGCCTCAGCCTGCCCCCACGGTGAATTGGGGGAGCCAGCACATCCCCTGCCTTGACTCCCTGTCCTTCGCTGCTCTCCCTTGCCCCCTCCCCTCAGCTCCTTCGCTTCCGATTATCTCCTGCCACTGACAGGGCCCTGATTTCGTTAATTGCGACTTTAAGGTGGTTCTGTTCAAAGGCATGCTTTTACCCCGGCTAATGCATCTCAAGGCTGCCCCAGAAATAGCAGTTTGGACGGGTGTGTGTGTGTGTGTATCTGTGTGTGTGGATTTGGTTAGCAGAAAATCCTCAGCCACATCCCTTGAGGCCAGAGATGGAGAGAGAAAGAAGGAGTTTTAACAGTAGCCAGTGATTTCCATAGGTCCAGGTTCAGAAATATGAAACAAGAGCCACGACTAGATAGGGAGGGGTGTCATACGGTGAGGGCCAGACAGGAAAAAGGAGGGCCACAAGGCTGAAAGGCAGCAAACAGGCCTCTTCAGGGAAATCTGGTGGAGAACGGAGCTGGAACTATTTCCTTGCGTTGCTTCCACACCGCCCCCCCCCCCACGTCAAGGAACCTCCAAGCAGAGGCCAATGCAAGGTGGCACCCAGTGCTTGCTGTCACAAGGCCTGAGCCCACCCCCCCAAACCAGATCCTTAGCACGTGTCACTTCGATGTGAGGCAGGGGCTGGGCTGGGGCGATCCAGCGCGGCGGAGCGAGCTGCCGCTGCCCTCCCCCAACCATCTCTCAGGGTCCTGGAGGGGGGGTTGGGGTGCCAGGCCCGTCAAATCAAAGGGATTAGAAAATACATCTCTCCCCATCACCCACCCCCGAGGCTTTCTCTACCGTTCTGCTAGTGTGTCCCTCTCCTTCAGCCTTTGCCAACCCGGTGCCCTCTCCAGTTGAGTTGTAGCCCAAAACATCAGGAGGCCTGCAGTTTGGAAAAAGGCTGCTCTAACTGGACTGCCATGGACTGGTCAAATCCCAAGCTTGGGATCGTGGGACCCACCCCCAGGGCTGGCCCGATACATTTGGCAGCCTGAGGCACAGCAGCAAACAGTACCCGCCTGTGCCAGTTAAGGCTCACCACGTTACTTTAGCACCTGAGGGAGAAAACCCCACACCTCTTGCCTTTGCAATAAGAATACATTCATAGTAAACAAATAATTAGGGCATCTAAAATCAGTTCCCCGAAGCAACTATCTTGGGGTGTTGCTAGGTCCTTGAAAGCCTCTCTGGGCAAAGGCACATATTTGCACAAGCTAATATAGACATATCGATGCAAATTTAGGCCAACCTTTCTGGGGAGGGAAGGAAGTGACTTCTGATGAATTATGGGGTCCCCATCTGGCCCCAAACCAGCTTCTCACCAAAGGACGCAACGACACAGACAAGGTTTCTGGGGGAGCACGGTGCAAACAGACCAAGGTCAAACATAGGGAAGTTGTACAGTGGTGCCCCGCAAGACAAACGCCTCGCAAGACGGAAAACCCGCTAGACGAAAGGGTTTTCCATTTTGGATGCGCTTCGCAAAACGAATTTCCCTATGGGCTTCCTTCGCAAGACGAAAGCCCATAGGGAAATCTCCAGGACAGCGGGGAAGCGCAGCGCGTCTTCCCCACTGTCCTCGGACCTCCTCCGAAGGCTGGTGGTGGGGCGGAGAGACCTCCTCCCCGCGCCAGCCTTCGGATGGCTGTCCTGAAGACTTGCGGTGGGAAGAGGGTTTTCCTTCCCACCGCCAACATTCAGAATGCTGTTCTGAATGTTGGCAGTGGGGAGGAAAAACCCTCCTCCCACCGCAAGCCCCGGGAACAGAGGAGAAGCGCTGCGCGCCTTCCCCTCTGTTCCCGTACCTGTCCTGAAGGCTTGCGGTGGGGAGAAAAGCCCTTCTCCGCACCGCCAGCCTGGCAAGCGGTCTCCATAGGAACGCATTAATTGATTTTCAATGCATTCCTATGGGAAACCGTGCTTCGCAAGACGAAAAACTCGCAAGAAAAAAAAACTTGCGGAACGAATTAATTTCGTCTTGCGAGGCACCACTGTATAGGTCAGCCATACGTCTGGAATTTCCCAGACATATTTGGGATTCATCTTATGGAAAGAAGTGTCTGGGCGGAATTTCCTAAAATCGGTTAAAATGTCCAGGAAAACTTGGGCGTATGACAACCCATGTCAGAAGTGTAGGTTTTTCAGCGAATTTCCTTTAAAAATAGCTAAAAAAAAATCTCAACAACTTTTGTGTCCGGATTTTTACTTTTTGAAATATGGCAACCCTAAACTAGGCTTGAGAGGCAAGGTCAAGAAACCATTGAAGGTCTATTTTTTGCCGAGTAATTCACAAAGTACAAGACAGTAAGGGTGGCAAAACTAGAGTCAGCTACAAGAAGCCGGAGGCCTGTTGTTTCAAGGCACTGGAAGGCTCAAGAAGAAGGCCTTAAATACTCCGGTTTCCTACACTGGGCCCTAACCACCACTGCTGGCAGCAGGGACGCGGACTTATAAAAAATATTGGGGGGCCCCGGGAAAGCTCATGAATAATAAATAAGCTCATGAATATGCAAATAAAGTGGCTCCGGCCCTAAATAGGGCAAGCCACGCCCCCCCCAGCCAGCCGATTGGCTGGCTGGGAGGTGTGGCCAGTCGGGATTCCCCTGTTCTCGCGGGGGCTGAAACCGCCAGGAGGAAGGAAATTCCCCCCGGCAGTGCCTTGGCAGTGGCGGTGGTGCTGCGAAGCAGCGAGGCAGGAGCCCCCGCCCCCGGCGCCCGAGATTATTGGGGGGGCTGAGCCCCCCCAAAAATTTTTTGAGGGGGCTCGAGCCCCCTCAAGCCCCATGGAGTCGGCGCCTATGGCTGGCAGTGAAGAGGTTATTAGGGCTTGCTTACTCACAAGTAGACCCCTTCCTCACAAGTAACCTGATGACTCTAGATCCCAATACACATACTGTGCTGTTGCTCTTTGGCTTGGACCTAAAGCTTCTGGAGGCCTCATTCTCAAGGCCTGGGGGGCGACTCCACCTCCTCTTCTGACATTTCCAGAGCTTCTTCCTCAGGTATCAACACAGTCCTGCCTGCTCCTCTGGCTCCCTGACCTGCGGGGTTCATCCTACGAGGAAACCTACTCCATACCTGGCACCAGGTCAGGGCTAAAAAGGGCAGCAACCGGCCATGTGTTTTAAATGCACCATGCGTAGGCAGTCCCCATTACAAAGCTTCAGTGTTACTTTCCTATTTATAAAATGGTGCAAATGTTTTCAGGAGCGGCTTTTTTATTGCTTAAGCTCTTGACGATAATATAAGACGAAGCATGCCTGACTAACTTCCTCGCATTTGCACATAAGGCCTTTTTCAGCTTTGCAATGGATTATGGGATATTGCTTTATTTGATATAAGTTGTTTATTGCGACTTTTTTTGTATTGGATCAGATTGCTGTGAGGCGTGTGGCAGTGGCGTAGCGTGGGGGGTGCAGGGGGGGCCGGCCGCACCGGGCGCAACATCTGGGGTTAGGGCAAATCCACAGGTTAGGGGGCGCAAATCCACGGGTTAGGGGGCGCAAATCCACGGGTTAGGGGGCGCAAATTACTTGCCTTGCCCCGGGTGCTGACAACCCACGCTACGCCACTGGCGTGTGGTCTTTGCTGCCTGGTTTGTTGTTTCCTCAGCTTGTAAACTGCCTTGTGTGTTTAAGGTACCCCTGCCCGTACGGGCCAGTCTTGACAGACTCTAGGGTTGTTCGCCCATCTCACTCAAGAGGCCGGGGGCCAGCGCTGTCCGGAGACACTTCCGGGTCATGTGGCCAGCGTGACATCGCTGCTCTGGCGAGCCAGAGCCGCACACGGAAACGCCGTTTACCTTCCCGCTGGTAAGCGGTCCCTATTTATCTACTTGCACCCGGGGGTACTTTCGAACTGCTAGGTTGGCAGGCGCTGGGACCGAGCAACGGGAGCGCACCCCGCCGCGGGGATTCGAACCGCCGACCTTTCGATCGGCAAGCCCTAGGCGCTGAGGCTTTTACCCACAGCGCCACCCGCGTCCCCTTGTGTGTTTAGAAAGGCGCTATACAAATTAAAAGGGAAATAAATGAGAAACTGAGAGGAAGCAAAACGGGCCTATTCACGCACCTCCACCCTTGACTCACATTTCTGCCTCAGGGGCGTAGCCGGGGGGCAGGGAATGGCAGCTCCCCCCCCCCCAAAAAAATCAATTAAAATACATAGTAAACTGAGGTTCTGCTCCCCGCCCCAACAAATGGCCTGCCCCCCCTTAACAAAAATCCTGGCTATGCCCATGCTCTGCCTTGCTACACTTTCTTAACATGCCCCTCCCCTCCCCTGGTCAATTTAATCCCCACAAATTTTGAGCTTTGTCCAATTTGTGCTCCAGGCAACCTAGTTTCTCCTCCTTTGCTATACACACACAAACCCACAAAGACCAATTCCCCCCCAAGCAAAGTCTGAATTCTGTTGCTGGAAATTTCCACACCTGCCCTGTGGGCCATGGGCTTATCCTGCCCGGGGCTGGCCCAGAAAATGCAGCTGAAGTGAGGGCACACGGCAAGGGGGGAAAGGGAAGGATATCTTTCCAGCCTGAAGCGGATGCCATCAGCTGGTGTCGAAGACCCCTTGGGAAAGCTTGGCAAGAGCATGCCAGATGGCGCCCGGCCCTCCATGTCCCCACTCTCGGTAGGAATGGAACGGGACCGCAGAACCAGATGGGAAGGAGCAGCGGGCATGGGAGCAGTCAAGAGAGTTGAGACGAGGAACAGCACATCAGGAGATGAGGTGGGGTGGGAAGCTGCGCTGTGGGTCAGGGAGGGGGAGTTGGGAAGCGAGTTAAAAGCAGCTGTGATAGGAATTTTATGGTCTTAGATATATGGTAATGTTCCATAAGCGTACCAACCAAGCACATACATAGATCAGCACAGGAAGGCCAACCTGGAACCATTTTGATTCCTAAACTGACCAAATCTTTTCTCTGCAAGGTCAAAATGGAAAAGCCTCCCCATTGTCTTTTCCTTCACAAATCCTGTCTTAAGGGTATGTCTGTGTTTGAATAGGGTGTGAGCCTGTGACATGGACAGGAACTAAGTATTTATCATTACAAAAGACTGGCCAGGCTACCCAGGAAATCCAATCAAGTAACCTGCCAGACAGGAGATAAACAAAAACAGGAGAAAAACAATATTAAAAATTTCTATTTTGGACCGCCTTTTCTGTGATGTAGGTGTGATGTATCTGAGGGGTGGTCTTAGGTTACACCCCTTCTGTGATGTATGTATGATGTTTCTGGGGGTGGTCTTGATCTACAGGGTGCCAATTTCAAAAGTCTTTATAAGGCCTTGCACACCATTTTTCTGGGTCCTTCCTCTCTCCTGCAAGTGAGGGGAGCACCCTGTTGCAACAGTTCAATAAAGGCCAAGCCTACAGGCTGCTGTTTTGCTCCAAGTAATCCTGGTTGGTGTCTTTGTTTTTGTCCAAGGGAGCCCTCAGATTTTTCCGTTAACACAACCAAACAGAGGAGATGGAAACAGAGGACGCGGCCTCACACCAAAGGCAGACCATCTGTCCCCATTAGGCTCACTGTTGCATGCACCAACCGGCAGCAGACCTCCGGGGTTTCAGGCAGAGGCCTTCCTTAGCCTTATGCAGAGATGCCCTATGCGGTCTAGGACCCACGTACCTACGGGACCGCCACTCCTGGTATGCCCCGCGGAGGACCTTAAGGTCCACAAATGACAACACCTTGGAGGTCCCAAGTCGCAAGGTGGTTAGATTGGCCTCAGCTAGGGCTAGGGCCAGGGCCTTTTCAGTACTGGCCCCAACTTGGTGGAACACTCTGTCACAAGAGACTAGGGCCCTGCAGGACTTGACATCTTTCCGCAGGGCCTGCAAGACAGAGCTGTTCCACCTGGCCTTTGGTTTGGACCCAGTCTAACCCTTATGTCTTCCCTCCCCTTACGGTTTTGATCTATGGGCTACTTTTAAAATGAGGCTGCATTTTAACCTGTATTTTAAATTGCCCCCCCCCCCATTATATTTCTATTGTAATTTTATTGGTGTTAGCCACCCTGAGCCCGGCTCTGGCCGGTGAGGGCAGGGTATAAATAAAATTTATTATTATTAAGGGTTGAACCTGTGACTTTGGGCATGCAAAACATGTTCTCTGGCCCTTCCGTAGACTTCTCCCCAAAGCTGTACCTTCAGCTTTGACGCCTTCCAAAAACCGAAGGGAAAAAGAACATCCCACCTCATTCAAAGCACTGCTTTTATCTCGTCTTGAAGGAGCATATTACAATATAATTGTTCTATTATTGAAGGACATGCTTAAATGTTACATTGCAAATGGGCCCCTCGTTAGAATGTCTAGCCTGGGCAGATAGAGAAAAAGAACAAGGATTTATTGTCACACCAGGATGAGGGAGGTTGCAGGAAGGAGGGAGAGAAGACCAAGACCTTATATGGTAATATAGGAACTTATTACAAGTTTCGATTTCCCAGAAATCAGGTGACTTACAAGAAATCAGGTGACTTACAAGAAATCAGGTGACTTACAAGAGATCAGGTGGTATTCTATTTTGCAAATCTATATAAAGGGGCGCACCCTGACTACTGTGTACAGGTTGCGTACTGATCGCCCTGTGCCTTTGTTCTGCATATGCACTTCAAATAAAAATCCTGTTAATAACCTGCAAGAGCATTTTGCCGCTTTGTGTGAATCTGCTTCAGGGACCCAAATAGCAGATATGTGTGGTCCTTCAGTCTCACCCTGCCCACCAGGAGGAGCGCTTTTAAAGAGTGGATCTCCTGACGACCCACAACTATGGTAATCCGTTGAGACCTGGTGGCTCTGCTGCTGGCAGCTGCATGTTTTGAGAGTGTGGGTCGCTGCAAGAGAGCTGGGTTGTCCATGCAAGGTTGGTTGGATAAAATATGGGACACGGCGTTGTCGGAAAGAATGGCTTACCAGAATCGTGTCGCCAGAGGGATAGGATAAGAAAGATGTCATACTGGTGGCCCTTTATATCCTATGCAAACAAGGGTGGATGATTACTACAACAATCTCTATTGAGGCAAGTTACACTGTGGAGGGCTTGCATTAGCCAACTGAATCTAAACCACTGAGCCCAGGGCTTGCCGATCGGAAGGTCGGCGGTTCGAATCCCTGCGACGGGGTGAGCTCCCGTTGCTCAATCCCAGCTCCTGCCAACCTAGCAGTTCGAAAGCATGTCAAAGTGCAAGTAGATAAATAGGTACCGCTCCAGTAGGAAGGTAAACAGTGTTTCTGTGTGCTGCTCTGGTTTTGCCAGAAGCGGCTTAGTCATGCTGGCCACATGACCCGGAAAAACTGTCTGCGGACAATCGTCGGCTCCCTCGGCCAGTAAAGCGAGATGAGGGCCGCAACCCCAGAGTCGTTCGCAACTGAACTTAACTGTCAGGGGTCCTTTACCTTTTTTACCTTTTTACACTATGGAGGGCTTGCATTAGCCAACTGAATCCTGCCTAACGGATTTTGTTTGTACTTTTCGTCAGTGCCGGCTCCTCCCCAAGTTCTCTTGGATTTTGTTTGTTAATTTAAATTGTGGCGTTTTGAAGTACAGTGTCATATTGCATTACTCAAATGTGCTTTGTCTGTTCTGTTGATTTTGTTTCATGCCTGTTTCCTATGAAATCTCAATAGAGATCATTTCTTTAGAAAATAACCGGTTAATATACCAATTAGTCGCAAGGTGGTTAGATTGGTTTCAACTAGGGCCAGGGCCTTTTCAGTACTGGCCCCGACTTGGTGGAACGCTCTGTCACAAGAGAATAGGGCCCTGCAGGAGTTCACATTTTTTCCCGATGTTTCCCTCCCCTTATGGTTTTGATCTATGGGCTACTATTAAAATGAGGCTGCATTTTAAATTGTATTCTAACCCGTATTTTAAACTGCCCCCCCCATTATGTTTTTATTGTAACTTTACTGGTGTTCGCCGCCCTGAGCCTGGTTCTGGCCGGGAAGGGTGGGGTATAAATAAAAATGTATTATTATTATTATTATTATTATTATTATTATTATTACAGTGGTGCCTCGCAAGACGAAAAGAATCTGTTCCGCGATTCTCTTCGTCTAGCGGTTTTTTCGTCTTGCGAAGCAACCCCACTAGCGGCTAAGCGGATTAGCGCTATTAGCGGTTTAGCGGCTTAGCGGCTTAGCGGCTTGGCTGCTAAAAGGCTATTAGGGGCTTAGCGGCTTAGAAAAAGGGGGGGAAGCGGGGGGAAAATGGCGAGACTCGCAAGACATTTTCGTCTTGCGAAGCAAGCCCATAGGGAAATTCGTCTTGCGAAGCGCATCGCAAACGGAAAACCCTTTCGTCTAGCGGGTTTTCCGTCTTGCGAGGCATTCGTCTTGCGGGGCACCACTGTATTATTATTACAACTGATAAAATTAAGC